AGTGACTTACTTGCAAATACATACAAATGTGAATAAAATGGTTTGTTAAAATACCAATGATCAGTTTGTAAGAAAGATCCCCATTACATTAGTTTTTTTCTTGTTGTAGTTCCTTAAATTTTTAACTGTGTACGATTTAATTTATTAACATTCAAATAAAAAGAACTTGAATTTTTAATGAATTGAACTTGAATTTTTAATGAATTGAAAGATATTTGTTAATTTAATTTTTGCTGACATTTAATCACATTGAAATTTATATCAAAACAGAATCGTAAATGTAAATACAAAATGCACAGTGATTAGAGCATTATGATATACAATGAAGTGCATTGAAGTGGTAAATTTTCCCGTTCGAATGGAACGTTTTGAGATATCTTTGGAACGTTTATTGTCACCTTATGACACGTCCATTTCTTTAGAAATGGATACAACGGTCAATCTGTTTATTCGAATACCTGTAGAACAAGTTTTCCATAAATATAATAGGAAATCAAATTGACAGTCTAAATAAACACCAAGTAAACACGTGTTCGACCGAAACATGTGTTGTGGTAAGTTCAATGGACATGATAAGTTCAAAAATATGTACATATTCGTTGCAATTTGATTTGTACAGAAGCGAGGAGTCTTTAATTCTTTCTTCTAAAGCTCCATTTCATTGTAACTCATGTTGCTTGTCGCGAAGAATGGGGTGTCCTCAAACATTGCGACGAATGTTTCTTTCTCTTTTCTAAAAATATGGGCGTGACATTTTGTTATAAATGACGTTCGAAACATGACTCAGAATGTTTTATCCAACGGAAAACTTTATCATTTCAATGCGCTTCATTGTAAAAATTGTATCAAAACAGAATCGTAAAGGTAAATATAGAATGCACAGTGATTAAAGCATTTGTACTTTAGGTTAGACCTAGAAGGGCTGTCCGGAAAATAACGAAATATAATTTTATTCATGTGTACTACATGAAGAAAACAGATAAAATTTCATGAAAGTTCGTAAACATTTTTTTCAGGAATAAATAAAACAAGGGCACGAAATCCCAAAGAACGTGGGCGCTTTTGATTGGCATTCGGTAGGAATCTGGGCGTACTTGAAAAGTGAAAATTTAATCGACATGTCACATGAAATTTTAACATTTTTTTTATTTATGGGGTTCCTGTGCAACAGGAAAGGAAATTATTTTCCTGAAATCGAGCTCTGATTAGCTAAAAAATAACTTAAAAATTAGCCAAATCAGACATTTGGTACAAAAACGTATATTTTAGACACGTTTTTCTAAAATTTTTCTATCTCTGGGTCTTCTCTCCATGATTTTGAAACGTTATTCGTGTGAATTTAAATTCAAAGAAACGAATACACTTTTTTAAAAAACTGGAGAGAAGACCGAGAGACCACGAAAAATAACTTTTCCCCCAAAAAATCCAAATGTGTGAATGTGGTGCTTCTTTGTCCTTTTAAAATTATTGGTATACGTGTAGCGGTGATAGCTCAGTAAGTTGGGCTACCTGTTCACTGCACTCGAAGCCAAAAGTTTTTGGTTCAAACCTGGCATGGGGCGTTAATTTTTTTTTCATGTAAACAACCATTTATTTTGTCAGATTCATTTTATGTACTTATGTATTAAAATTTTGAATTAGATTAATTTTGGTTTAGTTTGGTTCTCGAGCGAAATCAATTCAGAATCTAATCTTCTATTCTTTAATGTACATGTATCATGCATTAAATAATTTAGGTGTTTATTTTTTGTGAAACATTAATATGTTACAGTACCCCCAGGAAAAATGGACATAAATGCTACAATTTCACACGGTCTTTCAAACTAAATGAAAAAAAACCTATGGACGTGCTTGAAAAAATCTGACCAGCTATGTTCAGCCAACCAAATCATGGACATTTAAACCATAAATGTTTCGTACAAATGATTCCTGCAGATTACTCGCCAAATGCACCCATCTTCTTTATAAGAAAATTAATAATTAGAGTGAATTAAATTAACCATTAGCGTGGAAGATTTCAAAATGGTTTTGATGTTAATCGACAATTTTAGAAGAGCTCGAAACGAAACCCACGTTGATAAAAATATTTCATCTTGGACATTTTCGCCACGCAATTGATGATCTCTTAAATATTTGAAACAAGCATGGAATAGCAGAGTCACCAAACGAAGTAGGATAGACTAAGTTTCAGTCCATTATTAATTTTTAATTCTGGATTTGATATGGGCTTTTCTAATCTTGCTGAATGGAAAGATACTAGTATTCATAAAAAAATACAGGAGGAAATAAATGAAGAAAGTTGGGCGAAACAAAGTGATGTCTATAAAGGATTTACGCTTTCCACACTATACCAAAGCAGCCATTCCGGTGATCATAAGATTGTACCAGTTTTTCATTGGTATTACTTTCTTTTACATCTACCGACGTAATCGTTGTTAAATCTGAGAAAATTCCCCGATCTGAATATAATTTATAAAGTAAGCTGCCATGGTATTGATTCATAATCCTAGACATTCCCCCACAAGGACCAGAGCAGACAATAAAAAGAGGCTTTCTTTAAGAAGCTCTCGATTAACATGATTAAATAATGTAAATTAAGCGAGGTACGATTCATTAAAATCACTCCCCAACCTTTTTCTTTGGTAGATAAACATAAAAATGACAGAATCCCTCTTTGTCCTCTATTTATAAGTCTGTTGTAGTTTTCAACAGTTAATCCCATGGGACGGAAAATCACATTCTGATTGAGCGAAATTTCGGGATCAAGAAATTCCCATTCATTTATTTTAACCATCAAAATAAAAGGTAAAAATTCATTTTGTGGTGAAAAAGACCTTCCGGATACGGAACGCGGAATATCGTTTAAAAAGACAAAAGAACGTAAAAAAATTCCTTTCCCATGAAAAAAAATCAGGAAATTTGAGCGTCTGGACATCTGAAGGTCCACTGTACATGTATTGTTAACGATTACGTCGGTAGTTGTAAAAGGAAATAATCCCAATGAAAAACTGGCACAATCTTATGATCACCGGAATTGCTGCCTTAGTATTGTGTGGAAAACGTAAGTTCTGTGAATTGATATAATTTTTAAAATCACTTTCATAATAATTAATGCTTTTATATAAACAATATTTCATCCAATGACAGTATACTATTTTTAAAAATATCTTAACAAGTATTTATTGGTACATGTGCTAAAATTCATGAAAGTGTTTAAACATTAAAACTTAATGATTAAAACAACATTCTTTAATATTGCTTATAGTTTAAGAGACTATTTAACTAAAATCAAGACGATTCAGGTATCCGGACGCTTCACATATCCGGACAAATTGACGGAGAACCAAGGCGTCCGGATAAATGAGGCTATACAGTAATAAGATAACTAAACGAATTGTTTGTTTATTACATTCTCTCAGTTATGTAATGATGACTAGCGGGATAATCCATCTGAGTCCCAACTAAATGATTTCTTGACGGTAAGGAGTATCTGATAAATAATCTGATAAAAGGAAAAAAAATATTTACTGACATTCAGCGCTGGAAGACGTGACGGCAAAGGAGAAGGCATAGCACATACTGTGTTGTTTTTTTTTTTTATAGTAACTTTTTTTTTAATTCAAAATGGTTAAATCCACAGGATTGAAAGAAAATACGATTTCGATGGGGAGGGGGATAAACTTAAAGCTTTTCTCCAAAAAGATATAGAATACGTACAGAAACCAGTTGAGTTATTGGTGTCACCTTCTCTGGGAGTAAAACTCAGGAAGAAACATCTGATGAGAACGCTGTATTGAAAAACACTAACATCGGGAATGTGTCATGACTTCTACGGTATAATAGTTTTCCATATTCCTTATTTCCATATGGTTTATTGACCAGAGGACCAGAGCTCCCACAAAATAGGATTTCTGAATTTTGAAAATATTTCTTTTTAAAGCTTGTTCAGGTATTTTTCGACTAAGTTATCATGTTTTTCAGCACTTTTCCATAAATCGACACCAAATATATAGATGTATAAAAACTTTCTAAAAGCTTTATGTTTAAATACATGAACACCATTAGTGCAAACACATGTTAAAGTGCATCTATATAGGTCACTTTATAAAACGTGTCCATAGTTTATCGATTAAAATGTTTTGTTGTTTTTTAGTAAATAAAGTCATGTCTGCATAGTTGATTATCTACAAAAGACGAATTTCAATAATAAGAGCTTCTTGATTTGCTTATAACAGTTTGCATACTAGTAATACATATAATTCTAAAAATAATTTTGTACTTTCGCTCTTAAGTTTAACAGAATATCCGTTTGTCATCAGGCTATACATATGTATGAAGGTAAGAACCGAAAGTAAAAGAATGTTTACAACAAAGCTTTTAAATAAATAGATATTTAAAACTTGAATTGCAGTTAAAAAAATAGAGCTTACAGAAACAAACAATAAGAATATTTACTTGTGAAAGATAATAGTGGAGTCACGTAACGTACAAATTGTTGATATTTGTAAACATATTAGAATTACCCTCTTGTCCAGATTGAAAATCTCTCAGAGCAATTATAAATTATGTTTTAAAAGTTTGATTTTTATTAATTTAAGTTCTATGATGAAGTTTACAAAGAACAAGTTTAATGTGAATTAGAAGTGTCTCTCTTGTGAGCCTCTAAAGCCTCGATTTGTGTCATTGATACACATGGATAGACAAGGCAGATTAGGGTCAATTCATTTGTTCTATTAAACTTTTCTTGTTTTGGTCCATCACTCTTTTATTACTTGTAGATATCTTTGTTCAAGTTTAGAAATATTCCTAAATTATCCCCCCTCCAAAAAAAGATACACCAAAAATATGAACTGATTTTATGTCGCCATATGCATTGTACATATAGACTGTTAATATCATGTGCATTTAAAATTTTAAACGGATTTCATTGGATGATCAGTCTCACCCTTGACCCTTATAACTCAGGCATATCTTAGTATTTAAAAACATAAAAGCGGGATATATAAACTGGATTTCAAAATGAGGTAATTGTAATCTGAAATAATCAATATACTAAATATATGAACATATCATTTTAATGTAATACAAGAAGATTGATGTAATAGCATTGCAGAAAATACAAAAAACCCAAACATGATCATGGGTATATTACAAAAAGGATAATATAGTATTGTTGACACTCTTTTTAAACCATTGTTACTTCTTGGTATGCATATAATAAAATGGATATACATATTTGTTAATCGCTTCTTATTACTCAAGTTTAAACACAAATAATAATCGGACATGAAAAATTTGAACATACTCTACTGTTTAACACAAAAGGATCAAAAACAAGTTCTTATCCTGGACATGAATGTGCTAACTATCTCTGACACATTAGATAGTGGATCTTAAAATGTCTTCAAGTACACCTTAACTCTTTTTTCTCCTCCAATATGTCTGAACTAGGTGAATCAATGTAAAAGACTATTCCGGGAATCCAGCTTCGTGACAGATAAAGCTGTTATAGTGATTCTTTGTTAACAACTAAACCGAATTAATATATTGAGCATAAAAATTTTGAGAGAAGCAGTACTACAAACTGTCCAGTACGTAACGGAAACATATTCATCGAGAATTGTAACTTTTTAATTGATTAGACTTTCAGTATGTGTAACTAATGTGGTATTATTGTAGGTTGATTCACACCAAGAAATATCTGTTCACGTACATGGTGCAAGTAATGGTGAGGATAAAAGAAAACAGAAGAAAATAATAATTATAAGACATTATAAATAATAAACTTCAACTTGTATAAAAGTATTTATATGATACACATTTCAATTAGAAAAAAATAACCTCCTCATTTCTAAAACTTTCTTTGTTTCAAATATTATACGTATTTTTTATTTTTAAAAAAAATTGTCATTCTCTAAAATATTTGAACGCTATGCAAAAGAAGAATAGAGTAAAATATCGGAACATGTACTTAGTTTATTTATTCATAGGTTTTGCAAGAAGTCGACAGATTTGCATATGGCTTTGTGATTCCTTGCAAAGACTCTCTTGCCACAGTTACAAGAGTATGGTCCTGTCCAAATAATGCATCAGAACTACGAAAAGCTGCTGAAAGAAAGAGATGTCACGATATAAAGCATACCTGCAAGTCTTTTGAGTATCACTGTGTAATTAACGATTGGATGAATGAAACAATAGAAGTATGCGCTCCATCTTTACTTATTATTGGTAAGATCTTTAGTATATTGTTATTGTTTTCTTTGAAAAAAAAAACCCAATAATTTATTATACGTTAAATGGTTCTCTTCAGTTTTCAAAGTGAATCTATTTGTTTGTTGTCCTTGTTGTTTTGGAGGTCTATGTTTGCTCTGTGTATTGTTTTTTTTTTAATTTTTGATCTTGAATACTGTTCGTTATCATTGTCCTATTAGGGTATCTCCTTCTTAAAAACGATAGATTTGGTACCAATATTTTTTTCTCTTTTTTATATATTTTTCAGATGATTATGTCTTTTTGGTAACAGGTGGGTAATATAATGTCAAATCAAAACACAAATGATAAATTTACATTTGATTTTATCAATAAATCTGTTTTTTTTAGCAAAGGGATGTATTTTTTATGAATATGATTCATCACATATCTTAAAGAAAAAAAGTAATTTCGGATTGAAAATATTTTGTGGTTAATTGGAACTTTAATTATGACATAATGTCACAATTAATTTTTTTTTTTAATTTTTTGTGTTTTCATTATCCAAGGAAAAAAAATCAACAACAATGAAAACCAGTCTTATAGTCACAGTTTTTCTCTAAAGTAATCGTTTAGTCTATATTATTAAAGTCTGCTTCTACAATCCAGTATATTTGAAAATATAATGCACCTCAAGATAAACAAACTTGCATTTATCTACTTTTATTTGTGTTTTGCAACTTCCTGTTATGAAAAATATCCTTCATGTATGTTTTTAAGATCTCAGTCGCCCTCTCAATCAATGCTATGAGATGCAGCTGAAACAGAGTATCTTATGACATTAAATTATGCTACTGCTACTCTAATATTAAAAAATAAAAATCTTTGATACATTATCTTTTGTAAAAATGGTAAAGTATAATAAGATTATTACAATCAATGAAAGGATTTAAGAAATCTTTACTGTGACTTTAAATGTCAAGTATTAATTTAATTTTATAAGGCAATCATTGAAGCTGTCAAACTTATCACATATATCTAACAAATAGTTTTTAAAATAATGTTTAGAAACACAAGGATTCACAGAGCCGTACGTATGACACGTGTTGTGTCTCAAGATAGAAAATGAAAACCACTTTAACAAAAATATGAAGTATAAAGCTGTAATTTGTACATTAGTTACAGTGTATTTACTATTACAATACACTTTCAATATGAACCAATAACTTACTTTGTTTAAGGGAAAATTCAAAAGGATTCTTTATCGTCGATTTCCATTAAAAATGAATTTTTAGTTTAATTTACTTTAGAAAACAAAAATGTAAATGAAACAATGTATATTATTTGATTTTTCTTAATGTGAAAGGTGGAAGGTGTGCTGAATTCAACACGGATAAAGCAAGCATTCGTGGCAACTTTTTGACAGATTGCAAATCATCTACCCCTCCATGTCCGGTATCCTACAACTCGACAACATCATATAAATGTAATGAATTATATCAAAGAAATCTTTTGTATTGTTGACTCGATGTGTAGTTAGTCCTTTCCTATTCTTTTGTTGATTTATAATGCAGATATATAAGGACCAGGCTTGACATAATTTCAAACTTTTATCTACCTTATTTGTATTTTAAGAGTCTTTCATATGTTAATCATAAAATGCATACAGTGGTACTGGTAAAAAGGCATAAAAAACATGGTGTTTACATGTAATTTAACATGTAAATACTATAAAAGATTGTCGACATTTTTTTTTTAGATTTTGGTTGTTTCTCTAACATAATAAAAGAAAGAGTTACTACCCTTCGTGCAGTGATTTCATCAAAAAATATGCAGGAAACCTCAACAACAAATACAATTGATAGGTAAAAATCTATCAAATTACTTTTTAAGACTGCAAAAAATGTTAAAAAGTGTAAGAAAATTATTCTCTGAAAGTTTTAATTAAATGATAGCCCTTCATCATAGGCAATTAATGATTTTTTCTTTAATTTCAGGATCCATAAGCCCTCAAATGACAGAAGTACTATTATCATAAGTGTAATAGTTCCTACCCTAGGCCTGCTCGTATCTGGGATTATATGTACACTTTATTGTGTTAGAAAACAAAAATGCAGGTGTTCACTGTGTGCAAGTACGTGACACATTTATGCTTAAGAAGAAATTAATAATTAATCAAGTCATGTATGCTGTATTTTTCTATTAAAACATACTTTATTTTTGACAGGAAAAGGTTCAAACAGGAGACAAGACATGGATCAGGACATGGAAATAGGCCAGGAAATGGGATTGCATATAGGTGATTGATGTTATTTTGATTCTTAAAAAAACTATTTCTGTTCCAAAGTATAATGTTAATATGATTATACATTTTCAGTAAATAATTTTACCTTTTCATTCAAAAAGGTTACCATAAAACGTGCTATTTCATTAATCACTTTGTATGTTTATGAAATATATGAAGATATAAAAAGTAAAGATTAAAATTTTGATGATATTTTGTTGTTAGATAAAAAGGAGTAATGCGTAGCTATTTCTTAGATTAAGTCCATTGAGTTTGTTCCTTGTTGATGATGTACCGTTTTGTTCTCATTCCTTTATCAAGTCATTGCACCTCAATTTTCATTTTTTTTGTAGAATTGCATTTATAGTTAGATTTGTTTTTGTATTGCTCATTACATGAAGCTAATCTTTCAATTTTGTATTACCTTATTTTTCATTTTATTGATATAGTTTGTGAAGCTGTTGTAGAGCAACCATGTGGTCGTTTGTAAATATTTTTTTCTCTTACGGGCTGTGAAAATTCTTTTTTATCATTGTGTTTACTTATTAAGTCAATGTTCGATGAAAACGATGGAAACTGTGTTCATTTTACTTATCAATTAGTTTTGATAGTGCTTGTAAAATCAAATTTGTTCATTTTACTAATCAATTAACTTTGATAACTTACTTGTAAAATCAAATTTGTTCATTTTACTAATCAATTAACTATGATAACTTACTTGTAAAATCAAATTTGTTCATTTTACTAATCAATTAACTTTGATAACGTACTTGTAAAATCAATTTTGTTCATTTTACTAATCAATTAACTTTGATAACTTACTTGTAAAATCAAATATGTTCATTTTACTAATCAATTAACTTTGATAACTTACTTGTAAAATCGAATTTGTTCATTTTACTAAACAATTAACATTGATAACTTACTTGTAAAATCAAAAATGTTCAATTTACTTGTCAATTAGTTTTAATGGTGCTTGTCAAATCAAATTTGTTCATTTTACTTATCAATTAGTTTTGATGGTGCTTATAAAATGAAATGTGTTCAGTTTACTTTTCAATAAGTTTTGATAGTGCTTGTAAAATCAAATGTGTTCATTTAACTTTTCAATGAGTTTTGATAGTGGTTGTAAAATCAAATGTGTTCATTTTATAATTTTTACAAAAAGACTGTAGATTTATTCGCGTATATACATATGAGTATTGTTTTTTCTCAATTTTTTTTAAATCTTTGTACAGATTTTAAAATGTGTCCCACAGTGGAAATGTTAAATTATTTTAATGTTTTTTTTAAAAAATATTTTATAAATATAATGTCACATCAATTGTATCTTCAGTAAAAATTCTCGTAACTTGAACTGTATTTTTTCTTACCTATATGTTGAATTTCTGTTATTTTTTGACTTTTTCAAAAAAACATAAATGAAATCCTTGAAATATGCGGAGATAAGGAACATTTTAAGCTCAAAGTCGTTAAAATAATAGAAAAAGAAATCAGGAATAGAGCTAAAACGAATTTCTAAAACATCAATCAGAGGTGGGATCAAGTGATAGGGAGGAGTGAGTATATCCCGTCGACCGGTCTCACCCATTGTGTGCTTTTTTGTTACTGGTAAATAACAGAAAAGTCCACAGACATTTCATTGTGTATGTAGTGACCGAGTAAGCAGTCGGCATTTGATGATTTGAGTGGTTGTATTTGCTAACAATTTCAATGTATCGTCCATAGAACTTCCTAAATGATGACTTTGGACAAAACTGTTTATATTCATTTTTCAACAACCTTTTTGTCAGAACATTATCTAACTTTAGAAATTGTTTATATGTAGATCATGCTCTTGCGTATCGAATCAATTGAGACTTATTAACCGCGTATGCACGTGACAGGGGACATAAATGCATGCAACGGAAGCTAACGATTAAAACTTTTAAGCCCTTACGTTAAACGTCTTTCTTTGTTAACCATTAACGTCCTATTCATAAAGTTAGATAGATTACATGATCAGTACGTTCTGGTCCCTGCCGACAAAGCAGCTAGGTAACATAATTGTTTTTGTTTGTAAGATTCATCATATAAAATTAAATGTATGTCAGAAGAACTTGGATTTAATTCTAGTAGTGGTAATTCAACTTCTACCCATAGTTCCCTTTCTAAGGAAGAATTTCTTCAAAATTATATGTCAGTTTTAAATATATTTAATATCACAAAAAACCAAAATAAATATGAATTGCCACATATATATATAGAAAGGAAGAAACGCAGGGTAACAATATATTCGAAATTTTTTTGACCACATAACCGAAAATAACGAAAATTAGTATGATGAGATTGTTAGTTACTATGCACCACAAGCAGTAATCAGAGTTACTCATCCGCAAAATGTATAACATTACGTAGGAAAAAAGATGAAAAGCCAAAACACGTCGAAAATTGATGATGACGAGTTAGTCAACAATATACAGTTGTTGACTTGGGTAGAGGGGAACAGTCGATCTGTTGGACCGGAGTGCAAGCTGTTGCAAGGCCGTAAGTCGCGGGCAACAGCTTGCACTCCGGTCCAACAGGTCGACTGTTTCCCGAGACCCCTGTGAACAACTGTTTTGTTATACTCCTACCAAATCAAATTCATATATTCAACAAAAGTGAAATTGTTTTGGGAGAGAGAGACTTTATCATGTTTATGTGTATTTATCAACAGTCGTCATTTGCCGTCATCAATAGAGGATCATTTATTATATCAATGCCATGGAACGTATAAAATGATTTCTGTAAAGCATAGCGGATATAAATCATAGTTTTCCTTCCAAACATGCTCCCATCCTTCTTCCAATCGGCACAATAGAATTCCCCAAAGTCAATATGCTTACCAATTTTTCACACAATTTATTACGCAGAAGCGGTAGATACACTTCATATTCGCTGAGAATATTTTCAGCCGTTTTCACAACATTTTTTGCATTCTTATTGTCCCTAGTTTCGAGTATCGACCAGATTTCTTCCTCGTTTGCCGCAGTGAAACGAACGTCGGCCATTTCTTACCGACAGGTAGCCTGAGTTCGTAAGTCCTGGAACTGCTTCATCGTATCGTCTGTGACGTCATAGCTAAATTACTCGGCACTCCTCAGCTAAGTATCTTTAACTCATGCAAATCAAGCAAGGTTTGCCGAATGAGGAAAAGATAACTCAATTTAGCGCCATATGACGTCAGCGGTCAACTGTCTTTTTTAACAGTCAATTCTAACAGTTCCTTGGATCGGTAGGTGGGAAAAACAGCCGAATTGTTGGACTTTTTAAAGTAAGGAATTATATAGGAACTGTTTAGTAGGGATGTAACAAATCTTGTTGTACCATTTGATGCACCTTGGGAATACACATTGCTTTTAAGAGGCAGTCCACTGAAAATCAGGCAGGGTTGTATTAATAGGCGGCACATCGAATGTGACAAATATTTGATATTTTATTGAAAACAATATCAATGTACTCCACCTGGAATAATGTAATTGAAGATTTGTTTGAAAATTGCTTATTAAGTCAAATATCCTTTTCTTTCATGTTCTTGAATTCCCTTATATAAACCATCAGATTGAATTTAGGCCAAAAACAAAGAACTTTAATTTCCATTATATTTTTCACAGGACTATAATTTACGCTGATCTATATCTAGAAATGTTTCAGCTTTCTGTTTCAAAAATAAAATCCATTGGAAAAACAATTTTGATAGTAGTTTTCTGTCAAAATATATAGACGTTTTTATGAAATTTTGCGATGTAAGAGTTATCTCCCGTGGCATCGGTAAATCTGCTAAACACCTTACTATTGAAATCCAGTGAAATATTTAGAACATATACACAAAATAAAATTATTTAACAAAAACTTACTACTTTATTTTCAAAATAGAATTCATTTTCGCCTCCAAACGTAATATTTAGATTAAGATTGGCAGTATTATTCAGGTTGAATCCACGTTTCCATTGATGTATCAGTGACGTCATATACCTGACTAATATTGCGTCACAATTAAATAGTTACAAGTTTTCCAAAGAAGTTTGCAAATTCTTTGCATAAAAGCCCATATAAAACGATTAAAAATAAATAATTTCTCTTTTTCTGTTCAATTACTTTTCAGAGTGCATTATCCTACATGTAAAATAATCGATATATTTTTATATAAAATGTATTTTTTTCACGGGCGACGTCTCAGCTAGAAGTCCCTTTTGAAAGGTAATTTTGTACATGTCCGAGAACTAATTTCTTAAAACTGATTTACTAGGCTATGCGTACAATTAATTAATTGTTTATATTGAATATTTCTTATAAAATTGGGATGTGAAGAGATTTTATTTTCTTCTGTTTATCAAGGACAGATGAATATTTTAGATTTACGCAACATTTAATTCAAGTCAACGGAGTTGAGATGTTTATTTCATAATATTTGTACACATACACACACACACACACACACACAAAACCAAAAAAAAAAAAACAAAAAAACACATGATTATATTTATCTATGCAGTCAAACCAAAGTAAACGATCCGCGGTACGATTAAAAATATTTTATTAAAAAAGTGAAAAATAAGATTTAAAAAATATTTATTGAGGAAAATTACTGTTGAACTCCCCACTTCAATTTGCCACTAAAACGGAAGATTTCGTGGGCGTATTTTTTGTTTTGTATTGTTTTTTGTTTGGGGTTTTTTTTTTTTTTTTTGGTTAAATTTGGTGATTGAAACAATCACATACTCACATTCAATATGAAGTTAAAAAATGTGACCATGTTGGCCAATTCTTAAATGTTTTCTCATTAATGGAAGTTTTTTTTTAATATGCCGCCTTGCCCCCCCCCCCGTCCCGGCTTTTTTCTTGCGATTTTTAGGCTCTTAAATAATGATACTACATATGAAATACTAGTAACTTATTTTCTTATTAATATAAAATTAAATTTTATAAGATGAAAATAGATCTGTAGGGGAAACGGTTTTTAAAGATGACAGGTTTAAAAAATTTGGATAAAGCCGAGACTGTGCACATTAAAATATTTTCTGCATTTAGGTACGTGCAAGTATATTTTCACCAATGATAGAATTGAACTCTTTAATTCACGAGAGAATTAAAAAAACTTTAGATGGAAATAAGATATTAATAAAGATAAGCTGTTTACTCTCAGTTGTTGCATAATGCATGTACAAATACTTCGATTTTTTTAATACCGAGTATCAAGAAATCGAACAGATGTTATACAGGATTGTAATCTTCATGCACGTAAAAGACATTATAGTATGATATTATAGTATTTTAAATACATTATATAAACATTTGAATCCATGGATAAAAAAAATAATTTTAAAACAGTTGACTAACTGAACAGAAATAAAAGACAAGCATATAATTTTCTGATAAATCAAATTCAGAATATTTCTAGTTTTACGGTAAAAACCGATCCCGATTGAAATAAAACCGATCCCGATTGAAAATAATGCAAAATGTGTAAAGTTATAAAACTAAAGACAACTGCCACCCATAAGACATGTAAAAATAAACGAAGTAATTTTTTGGCCATATTACAACAAAAGAGCCAAATTTAACATTACAATTTTAGTATTTCCTTCTTTATATAATTCCGGTCGGGATCGGTTTAATTGTGAAAAATTGTAAAACATAGGTAAATTTGACTCCTTTTATTTCTCTCAATATACGGGTGCCCACTGATTTTAT